TAAAAATGTTTTAATAAATAAATAAAAAATAAATAACATTATAACATTTTTCAATTATTACAAAATAAGCAGTATAAATCATTAAAAAACACAGCATTGAGTATTGTACTTTACATTGGTGACGTTTATCTATCCTTAGAATACGTGACCCAGGGTCAAATATAATAGCACTTCCAATGTGAAATGAGTGCCACTGGGCATTACTCCAAAGCAGTTCCTCAGGAGTGCCTTTGACAAGAAACAATGGCCAAATCCCTTAAAGCTGTCCATATAAACAGTCCTAGATGGGGAATGGTCAAAATGATCTTGCTTACGTACAGCAAAGGGACCGTGTTGCTCGGGAGCTTCCCAAGCAAAGGGCATAATGCTACATAAGTCCGGAGAGAAATGAGTTCTGCAAGCCCTTGCATCCCCCAGCCAGCCAGCCAGCCAGCCACCTTTGCGGGGAGCTGTAGGCCTTGTTCTTGTTTAAGCATCCATAGGACTGCATCCTAAGGAACACTTGCATAGGGCCTCATGAACAGCCAGGCCCCATGCTCCCTCATGGATGTGTGTGGAAGCTCTCTGATACTTCCACACACAAATATGTGTCACTGCATCTGGCCAAGTCTATGCAGTTCTTTGACTTTTAATGCATGCACCTCCTAATCAGCTGCTATTTTGTTCGCAGTGCTCAGTGAGTTGTGGTGAGGGTACCCAGACCAGAAATGCTATTTGCAGGAAGATGCTAAGCACTGGACTTTCTGCGATCATCAACTCATCGCTGTGTCCACCTTTGCCGTTCTCATCATTAGTAAAACCATGCACACTAGCATCCTGTGCAAGTGAGTACCTAAAAGCTAGGGAGGTGAGGGGCAATGGGAAGGGTATGTGAATGTAGCTGAACATCATTGCCACTGTGAATTATTTCTGTTACACTGCCTATTTATGGACTTTCCAGAACTAGGCTAACTTGATGTCCCAATTCTCTGCCATTGCTATATATTGTTATAAATCAAGCAATAAGACACGTTGGTGAAAGAAAGCCAACTAACCTTCACACAGACAGAAACCTGACCTCCATTCACATGGTGAAGTTTTCCATTTCTCCTTCTCACTATGATACTCACATGCCTCCAAAACAATCTTTTCCATACTTCTTCATAAGGTCCTGGTACCCTCTGGACCAGATTTTGAGGACATGAAGAAGGCATTGTGGAGAAATGGACATCTTCCCCTTCCTGTTTCCACTGTTTGTAGATACCTCATAAATGTTCCTTGTAGAAAACACCTGTCCAATAAGTAGGAACAGACTGGGTCCCTGTTTCCGTGCATTTGGGAGAGCTGGATTTATAGTCGGACGAGTTGTTCATCAATGATGCCATGCTTGTACACTGGGGTTTGATTCCTAAGTACAAAGTACAACATTGTTTTCAAAATCCATGAGACAGCCCTTCTATTCTTTTTAGTGGTCTGGCACACAGAGATCTGAACTGCAGGTATCTACATGACTAATGAAGTCTAATATTATCCACCATGGGGTTTTCAAGCAGCTTTAAGTAGATTTGTTCTGCTTCATATTACGCCCTTGAGGTTGTACCTTAGTTGTTCCTTCTTGCTGCTCACAGCTATCAGGCCTTGTTGGGCTGAAACAATAAACATTTAATAAGAGGAGTCCCCTTGGTTTTTTTGTACAATCCTTCATATAAATACTTCTAACAACAGGAACTGCATTTCCCCCATCAATCTGCATTTCAACTCAAGCAGGATCAAATTTGTTTAGCTATCTTGGCCTGTGTTATTTTGGTTGGGAGGGGTAGCCCATGTCTCAGCAGTTGATGTCCATCTACCTGCTGTAAGCCGTAATAGCCAAAATTACAGCTAGTGCCAAAAATAAGCTGTTTATTTTGTTTGAAGCTCCACTTTATAGGCCATATGAACACGCCACTGGAAAGGGCATCCCCATGCTAAATTTTCTTATCACTTCCAATTAACATGGAGTAACTTGGATCTTGATATGCATTGCAATGTTGTGCTCCCCACTGCTGCCACGGCTCACAGATGATAGGGACTTTAAGGGGAAAAAACACTTGATGTGTTTACAGCATAATCTAAGAGAGAAGCAATAATCTGAATCTAATTTCCATGTGAGCCAGCTAGTCTGAGGATTCAAAGGTGCTATGGGACCATTTCCAAACACTTTTCATTGCATTTCAGGACACCAGAGACCAGCTCACAAGCAACCCCCTCTGATCATGGCTCAAAAGAAGGTTTTTATCCAAACACGGAAGCAGAAAAAACTGCACTTTATTGTTGGTGGGTATGCCTACCTGCTTCCCAAAACCTCTGTCATTCTTCGATGCCCCGTTAGAAGGTTCCGGAAACCCATGATCACATGGGAGAAGGATGGCAAACGGCTCATCAGCTCAGTTCACGTTACGGTTGCTCCATATGGATATATGAAAATCCATCGTTTGAAGCCCTCGGATACAGGTACATATACTTGCACAGCAGGGCCAGCTCAGGAACACTTTGTGATTAAACTAATAGGTGGGCACAACAAGCGTATTGTCACCTTGTCGGCTGGAATGAAAGAAGAAGAAACCATGAAGAAGGGCAGTTTGAATGAAGCCTTGCACACCCAGGAAAAGCATCAGAATGGAATTCTCTTCAATGGAAGCAAAACGGAGAAACGAGGACTTCTCACAAACCCTAGCAGTCGGTATGATTATATTGTCTCAAGGCTACTTGAGTACAGGGGCTGGCCTCGTGAAAATACGGAGCCATGGGAAGCTCAGGACTCCACGGAAAGAAATATCTCTTCTGAGGAAGACCAAGGCCAGGAGTTTACCCTTCCTTCCACCATGGTTGCTAATCAGGATTGTTTGGATGACATCTTAAGAAATTTGTCTCAACAGCCTGAGGAGCTTAAAGATGTCTACAGCAAGCAGCTTGTTGCACAGTTGGCCCATGAGATTTTCAGGAGCCACCTGGAACATCAGGAATCTCTTTTCAAAACCCAAGGCAGTAGGGTCAGTTCTGCTTCGGTGGAGTTTCCATTCAGCAAGCATTTTTCTGAGTTCACCAGCTCCTTGAGGACATCTTCATCGGAAGCACACTTATCTACATCGTTGGAACTCATAAATGGTTCCCGTGGGCCACATAAAAAGCCTGCCATTCTCAAGAAGATCTCCGCAGCACAGCAGCTGTCAGCCTCTGAAGTTGTCACCCATCTAGGACATACTGTAGTTTTAGCCAGTGGAACACTAAGTGTACTCCTTCATTGCGAGGCTGTTGGAAACCCCAAACCTGCCATTAGCTGGGCAAAGAATGGAGAACCCGTTCAGTACAGTGAAAGGTAACAAAACAGTGTTAATTTGATCTCTGTTCCCCCCTCTCAAAGTGTCCACTCTTCATTTTTGTTTTTAATTATATCTTTTGGTTGTTCCCACTGCCTGTCCTGATGCGTCTCTCTCCTGTTTGTTTGAACATTTTTGGATTCTTGCCACTGGGGCCATGGATTTAGTTTCACCCTACAAAATTACGAGGGAAGGCTGTTTTCTGTTGCCTAACAAAATGCAAAGGAAGGCATCATGGAATTCTACCTAAAATGTTGTTTGAGCGATAGCTGATATTCATTGCAACACATTTGAACCAGATTGGTGGAAGCATAGTGAAAAGGAGCTTTTTCAGTCTTTCTCCAAATATACCTCATAACAACTTTTGTTTGTTGTTTTATGACTATTAGGTGTTTGGTTGCTTACTTTCATTACTGCAGTGGATGTAATAGTTGTAAGTTGCCTTGGGAGATTCATGTCCTGAAAAGCAGCCTGGGAATACTGAAATGAGAGAGAGAGAATTCCAGTTGCCCCCAGCCAGCATTGGCATGGCCATGATGGCTGGGAGCTGTAGTTCAACATCCAGAGGGCCCCAAGTTAAGGAAGGCTGCCTTGGAGACATTATCTGTGGGGCTGCAGCTGGAACAGGTAGTGGTGTGTTCCGTGAAGTCTCTTCGGGGGATTATGGCCCCTGGAATTATATCCGGTGGAAAAGAATGCCCACAAGTAAGTATATCTGATAACTATTAGTAGCAATTTAGCTATTATGTATCTGATATAGCTATCACTTTTCTGGTTTACTGCACTGGAAGGGGAAGTCATTGGGCCCCAGTGGACAAGAAAGCAGGCCTTAGATTAGCAGACCAAAGTGCACCCCCACCTTTGCTAATTGCTAAGCTGAAGCTCAAATACATTGTCCACCTAATGAGAAGGAAGGACTCATTGGAAAAGACCTGATGCTGGAAACGATTGACAGCAAAAGGAAAAGGGGACAGCAGAGGTTGAGGTGGCTGGATGGGGTCACTGGAGAGGTGGGTGTGGAGTTGGGTGGACTCCAGGGGGTTGTGGAGGAGAGGAGAACCTGGAGGAATTTTATCCATGGGGTCACAAAGAGTTGGGCACAATTTTGCCACTGAACAACAACAATTGCATTGCACTCAGCAAGTTGTTCCCTTTCAGTTTGGGTTACTGCTCAGTAAAAAGGGGATAATACTGGGCCACTGCGGTAGTTGTGTGAAGAAATACAAAGATTTGCAAAGTGCTTTTGCTAATTAAGGCTTATACCAGAAAACTTGGAGTATGTCCCATTGAACATAATAGAGCTTACTTCTGAATAGACATGTTTTTAGGATTGCCTTGTCAATGTGTTATACGATTATAATCAGGCATAAATGGTTCAATGGGCTACAGTGAAGTAGCCTGCAAAATTTGCATTCTGTAATTCACTGGGTTCTGCACATGACATTCTAGTGAAGGTCACTTATAGTGAATCAGACCATGTGTCTGTTTAACTCAGTATTGCCTCCTGTTGTGTCTGGCAACAGTTCTCAGAAGGCAGATGCTCTTTTCCTGCCTTGCTCCCTGAAATCTTTTCACCTGGAGATGTCAGGTACTGAACCTGAGTCCTTAGGAATGAAGCAAGTCTGTCCTGTACCACTGGGTATGGATTCTCCCCTGCTTTGTAGGTTCAAAGCCCTGGCATCTCCATCTAAGGAGTGTGCTCTATTTAACCCATCACAAGTTCTCCTGCTATCTCCCCTGGGGGCCCAAGATCTTGTACTGCCTGAGCCAGAGAAGGTTATGGTGCCTTCTTGCTCCATCCCAAAGGCAGTAAACCTGTTTTGGCACCTGAGGCAAAGAATCTCCCAAATCATTTACCCACTCCCTGGAAGTAATACCTTAAATCACCAACCATTTGCCACCCTTTCACAACCCTACAAATGAGCCACCTGGAATAGCCACTTCCCCTTGCCTCTGGCTATGCACTGCCCATGCTGTTCTCACACCAATAATGGGAGGGTAATATTAAACATTGTGGTAATGTTTAATATTACTTTACTTTAGCTAGGTATGACAGTAAGAAGGGTTTAAAACTTTCTATCAACTGGTTTTGTCCTGAAAAATGAAAAGGGTCTCTTTTGACTTCTCTAGATTTTTTTTTCTTTTTTAATGTTCTCCGTGACTTTGGGGGTGAGATGTATGGGGAAATGAGTGGGGGGAAAGGCTTAAGACACACACATACCCATATCACTGCAGCCTGATTTGAACTGGGGCCATACAATACTCACACCACCATCGGAAAACCCCGTAAAGCTGGACAGTGAAGAAATCTGACTGGAATTAAAATGGTGCATTTGGAACATGGTACTGGAGGAGAGCTTTGTGAATACCCTGGACTGACAGAAAGACAAGCAAGTGGGTCCTAGAGCAAATAAAGCCAGAGATTTCCCTAGAGGCAAAAATGATGAAATAGACATTGTCATACTTGGGCATATCATAAGAAGGCAAGACTCAATGGAAAAGGCAATCACACTGGGCCAAGTCAAAGGCAGAAGATGATGGAGAAGACCAACCATGAGGTGGAGTGATTTCTTAAATGAAGTCACAGCTTGAGTTTACAAGTGCTGAGCAGGGCTGTCAAGGACAGGACATTTTGGAGGGTGTTCATTCATAGGGTCCCCATAAGGTGGAGATGGCTTGATGGTATATAACAACAAAGGTCATCCAAGGAGTTTGATTGAGGGAAGGTTGCATCCAGGTCTGTCCAGGCCAAGCCAAAATACTCCATCCATGTGCCGCACAGGTGTATTCAAGTAGCCCATCTCTTACTTTGGAATATTTCTCCAAAAGGTTGTTCCACTGCACTTTTATGAAATACTGCATACAGACATACTTTTGAGATATTGAGGGTTTGGTTCCAGAGGACTGCAATAAGTCTGATATAGCATTAACTCGAGCCACATATATTTATGGTTATACTGCTTGGTGCAAGAGGCATAGCTTTTGACCTATCTCACTATGTGACATGCCTTTCTCACTAAGCTTAACCATTTCTAGCTTCCTCTCACTGGAATGCTTAGAGGCCATTATAGAGCTATTACAGTAATTGGTCAAATCTGCATATGTATTGTGGTATCTCAGAGAACAGGGAGGCCCAAGGGGAGGGAAAGACATGGAGAACTGGAGCAGTCAAAGCACCCAAAACAGTTGCAAAGATCACAGTAACATCAAAGTTCACCACAACAAATATACAGTTCAGTAATGAAAAACTTTGAAATACAGTACAGGATTGCAAGAATTACATTACCAAAATGTAAGACAGAGACCCAAAGTGAGCGACCCCTGTTGAAAAAACAGCATGCATAGACAATGCCTGCTTGACACAGGGTTGTGTCCAGGAAGCACAATAACTGCAAACCACAATAAAGCGAGGTGCAATAAAACAAGGTATACTTATACTGCCTTGGAAATTAATTTGGCTGATACCTGTGAGGTAGAGAATATCTACCTCACAGAGTAGATATTGCTTGTTTTGATGGACCAGTAGTCTGATTTGGATCAGTGTAGGTCCTAATTAGTATTGACATGATTTTGAAAAGCAAGAGCAACTGCCTGCAGTGTTTTCTCATTGTTAGTGATGTGTAATTAGTGTTCTTGCTGGTCCATGTTCCTTGTTAATTGTATTTGCATGGTGTTTTGTGATTTTACATTTGTTACAGATTTTATGTGGAGTATTTTTATAATTTGTTTGACCCTCAAAGGTGGGCTACAAATATTTAGAATAAATAAATCTTTAATGGTGTTATGCAGGGCCTCCACAGCCAACTGCATGTTAATTTGGTGTGTTATATGTGCTCAGGATTGCATGGCTTACAAGAAGCAGCTTCAGAGCACTGATACGCTTGGAGACATCTGCATTAGTTGACGTATTTACAGGGCAGCTATCCAAGTATCTGCTGCCAGTACAAGTTTCCTCTGTGTGTAAGTTATGGGTCTGAGGTTAAATATCCAAGTCCGGTCACCGGGGTCAGCCGAAGAAATGAGAAGGCACACAAAAGTCAAGTCTCGGAGCTAAAATTAATTTTAAATGCCTGTTTCTCTGGAACATCTAGCAAGTCCTTGATGTATCCAAGGTGCAGTTCATTGCTGTGGTTTAGATATGCCATTAGTTTGCTTTCTGCTTTCTTTTCTCCTGTTTTCTGTGGTTAAAATCTCTCCAAATGAAATGATTTCTGTAATTTACTAGCGTTCGCAGTGTCATTGTTTTTAAACAGCATTTTCCTTAATTATTTCCCCCTGGCAGATAGAACACTTTATTTTACTTTATTTTTTACCGTTAAAAGAAAACCCTAAAAAATGAGAAAACGTGTCTTCCCACCCCCCACATGAGAACAAGAATGCATTTGTTATGGAAAGCACATGCAGTCTTAATCAAGAATAGGCCCATGGTATATATTTGGTTGGACATAGTCCTGTAAAAATATCTTTCTGGCCTGTAGAAAGTTGCATACACAGATTTGCATTGCCAGTGGTTACATCCTGTTGGGAAACTGCCCATAAAGTGATTTTTTAACATTCTGTTTGAAACTACTATGAGGTGTGTGTGTTTCCTGACATGCTTTTAAAAGGAATTGAGGTTGCATAAAGTCCACACAAGGATTAAGCTCAGTATCAAACCTGAAAAAAGGGTATGTTTATCCCACACCACAGGTATGTATACTTTAGGAACCTATATGCACCAATTTACTATTTTCCTGTTGGAGAGTAAAGAGTCTTTTGATCGATGCCGGTTCTAAGTGTTAGGAGATCCTTGGCCAAGCAGCTCCCTCCCCACCCCCAACACTTCTTTTTCAGCAATATTGCCACTGCCCATTCATTGCCCCCAGAGCCAGTTGGCACCTCTCCCAAAAGGAAACGACAAGGAGTAAGAAGGTAACCGCTGCATTTTCTCGCTCTCTTACTGACTGATCATATAGAGAGAGCAGAGGAACTCAAGCAACAGCAAACAGAAGGAGCAGCAAGGCCATCTGGCTGTAGGGATTGGCTCTGACCCCCTTACTGGCCCCACTTCTGCATCTAGTTGAAGTTCTGCATTCGACTAAACATGCTTCTCAGTTCTCGTTCCCTGATCTGGTTCACACGTTCAACAGACAGCAGCTTAGCTCAATAAACCATCCAGGCCATAATGGTGATTATTCACGCTGTGGTGGGCACTCATTGTGGCTTTTTGTGTCATGCTTGGCAAGCCCCTCGAGTTCTGATGGCCTTGTTAACCATAGAAATAATGGTTAACACGAAGGGACACAAATAATGCCAGCCCCGTCCCTTTGTCCCTCCTGCTCCGTCTCTTTATTGATATGCTGAGTCACTTCTTGACACCTGTTCCAGCAAGTCAGTGTCACAGTATTCTTCCTGTTATTTCTTAGCACTGGTTAGGCCACATCTGGAGTACTGTGTCCAGTTCTGGGCACCACAGTTGAAGAAAGATGCAAACAAAGTGGAAAGGGTTTAGAGGAGGGCAGCACGGATGATCCAGGAACTGGAAACAAAGCCCCTTGAGCAGAGATTGAAAGAACTGGGCACATTTATTCTCAAGAAGAGATGACTGAAAGGAGATACGATAGCACTCTTCAAGTATTCAGAAGGCTGTCACAAAGAGGAAGGTCAGGCTCTCTTCCCGATCATCCCACAGTTCAGGACATGGAATAATGGGCTTGTTACAGGAAGCCAGATTCTGGCTGAATATTTGGAATAACTTCGTGACAAGTTATTGAGCAGTACGGCAATGGAACCAATTACCTAGGGATCCCATGGACCCTCCTATGCTGAAGGCATTCAAGAGGCAGCTGAACAGCCATCTGAGAGGCATGGTTTATTTTGGAGTCCTGCACTGAACAGGGGGTTGGACCTGATGGCCCTCTGGCCCCTAGCAACTCTACTGTTCTGTGATTATATGATTCCTGTCTGCTACCCCAGATCTCCTACATATTTGCAGTTTCTCCTTCTCTTTCTTCTTCTGCATAATTGATCACCCTGCCTTCTTATTTATTGTCTCTTTAAGGGCCTTCTGTTAGTTCTGATGGTGTTAGGTTGCTCTGGATATTTAAATTAATATATTTTTTATTTCAGCATTTTGCTGGGCAATATGAAAATTTTCCCTCTGTTGCTCCCCCCACAAAAAATGTCTTCAATGGGTGGCCTTAATCTGGTTTCTTTTAGAGTGTTGCCACCCATGATGTTATGAGTGAGATCAAATATCTTTAAATTTGTGGTTCATGAGGCAGCAGTTTTCATTCAAGGGAAAAACAAAAATCTCATCAGCTCATGGTAAGTGCCTACCCTTTGATTGCACTTGGATGGGCTTCCTCATTCCAGCTTTCTCATCCTCTTCTCTATTCCCCCGGCTTCTTTTTCTATCACCATGCTGGCAAAAGGGTTTATGTAAAACAGCTGCTGCAGTTTCCTTGTGAGGAAAGCAAATTTGCCTATGGGCTTTCTCATTAATTTAACCTAAGAATGAGGGAAGGTCTGTTCAAGAATTAGAGCTTTACAGTGGAAGCCATGATACTAAACACGTCTGTGTGAATGAGTCAAGGGCCACCCAGGGGCTTCTGGAGACTGAGCAAAATGAACCTGAACATCCTGCAGCCCAGGAACATTTTACCGACATGGAAACCCCATGATATGGAAACCATCCCAGGGCACATGGTCCCAGAAACCCTCCATATCAGGGTTACTCGCAGGATTTTATAACATTTGTACTTATTTCCTGCAGGTGCTCATCATGACAGTTCCCATAGCCATATCCCAAAGGAGAATTTACCATTTCAAGCGACTGCCTGTATGGTGTAGTGATTAAGAGTACGGGACTGGGACTCAGACGATCTGGGTTCTAGTCTCCACTCAGCCATGCAGCTCATCAGGTCACTTTGGGCCAGTCACGGTCTCTCAGCCCAACCTACTGCACAGGGTTGTTGTTGTTGTGAGGATAAGATTGAGAGGAGCAGGAGAATGATGTAAGCCTTCTTGAGTTCCTTGAAAGGAGAAAGTCTGGGCTATAAATACAATAATAAACAAATATTGACAAGCCAATCATAGAAAATTTTCTGTCCACCAGAGCAGGTCTTTATAAGGCCTGAACTGTCTGAATGGATCTGAATTGTCCATTCAAGACCAAGCCATCCCTAAATATGCAACAAGGAACAATATATTATTGCTGGGACTATTTGCCCCCACCTCCAGCTTCTGTGAAAATTGCAGCTAAGCTCAGAGAGAACAGGGAAGTCTTGAAGGGGTGGGAAATGATGTCAGCACCTGTGCTAATCAAGAAGCATGAGCACGGCATCCCTGGGAGCCCTGGCCCCACTCCAGGACTGCAGGGTAGTATGCTGTTCTGAGCTGTCAAAAGGAACCCCCCCCCCCCCCGTTTCATATACCCCTCTGCCCCCGGCAGGGTTCTCCTTCCTCTGGAGGCTTGAGAATGAAGCAGTGATACAGGATGCAGAAGCTTTCCTTGATTCACAAACGCCAGATACTCCCTACAATGAAAGTGGGAGACACTGCTGGAACAGATAATATTTCCTTAAAATGATGGGTTTTTAATATGTGACAAGTGTTTTTCATCTATGATAATAATTTCATCAAGTTAGCACAGAGTGGATGATTCCCAGCTGTTTGGGATATCGCCTCAGACTATCTTGTGATGTTACATTTTCCTGTTGTCTTCAGAAGCAGTGTGTCTCAACGTGGCCAGAAAAGGTTCAAAAGAAGGTCCAATATTTGTTCTGTGGGAGCCACCCAATGGACAGGTCCCATGAAATAGGAAGAGACCATGCACAGGTTGTGTCCCCTACTCAGGTCCAACCTTTTTCCTTTTGCAAAACCGGGCATTTTTTATCATCATGGTCATCCTTTTCCTGGTGCTTTCTTGTATGCTATTGCAACACTTCATTTGGAAAAATTAATGTTGAAATTGGCCCCTGGGATATGAAAGAAAAAAGTTCACCACTTGTGTGTTCCTTGTGTGGTCTTGGATCAGTCATCTAGGCCCTCTGGATCTTATTTGCCTTCTTGTCACCTGAACAGTCTAATTTATCTGAATGTTCTGTGAGGTGGAATAAATCGAGGCGCTGTTCGCACAGGTTTGCAATTACTCTGGATTACATGGGTGACAGACAGAGTTGTCAGATAATCAGGAAACAAGATAGCAAAGAATTTGGGGCCACACTGGAATGACATGTCATTGCCTGCCTCTTTCTCTCAATGGCTTGTGGGCTGTTGTTATTATTATTATTTTATGAAAAACCACCTTAGGCAGTGGCAGGTTTGAGCAGAAAAATGGCAGAGGAGAGGGGAAGAGAAGGAGGCTACTTATCCACTCTTAGTTTCTCTTTGTCCCTGCCACTTTCCTGTCTATAATGGAAAAGATCTGTGAACTAGTGGGAGTGCTTATATAATCCTGGTGGGAAATCCTCAGGAACCACACAACACTGTGCTATAGAAAAGAAGGCACTTGCCAGAAGTCTGCTGGCAATCTGTGCTTGGCCAGATCTGAGCAACCCTCTCTTTGCCTCCAAGAGCTGCATGGGAAGGTGAGTGGTATGCCAAGGGCTTCATGCTCAAACCACAGGCAGAGGAGAGCACACAACTTTCCCCTTCATGTGACCCCCTCGTATGTGCCTGTCTCTACTCACAGGGATGTGGCAGTGTAAACCACTCGGATGTCACTTGTACCATCGGACACAGCAAAATTGCTGCTGTAGCTGAATGGGGAACAGGGAATGGGGAATTCGGGGGGTGGCAGCTTGGGCACCTATAGTGGGCCACATGCAGCCCATGGGCCATAGGTTGCCCAGGCATGGTTTAGAGCGCTTTTTAAAATACAATGGTGTTATTGGGAAGTTTAGGTTTCCTCTGGCATTTAGAAGTTTCCTCTATGATGTGGTCTATAATTATGGATAAGCTTCCCAGAAAGATTGTTTTCCCAGCATGTTCTTGTGCTATGTACAACTGCATTGTATCCCTGTATGCATAACATACAGTAAAGATATTTAAAAGAGGATTTCCTGCCCATTCACATGTGAATTTTCCCCTTTCCTCAAACTTAGACTCACAGTTAAGCAGCCTTAGAATAGGAAAGGCCCAGGGCATGAGTGAAGGAAACCTGCCCTAAGAAAGCCTCAACAGCTGCATGTCCAGCACTAAATATATGCCTGTTTTATGGTAGGAGGGAGGATGGAGGAATAAGAGACAGGGTTACAACATTGACCAATTTAATGGGGAGGTGAAAGGGGTGGAGATTCTGAAAAGGCTGAAGCTATATCCAGGTGCTGGGGTTCTGGGATAATTACTTGCCTTGTGGAAAGTTGGGGGTGGGGATAGAGCACATGGCTTTCAGCACAGGCCCTTGATGCTACAGGTAGCTGTCCTGTGTGGCTCTACCTGTGCGGTGTATACATGGACATGGTAAGATTGCCTGGGTTGTTCAACCACCTCTGATGGGTGACTGCAGTGGGAGTTAAACATGGTGTAAAGCTTGCCCACAAGCTAGCTGATCCACACGGCAGTCTGTAGTATCAGATGAGGATATGTGATGTTGATATGCACATTGTTTAAAAAGCATCTGACTACAAGCACCTTGATGAGCTGGGATCGCTAGAAATGGCTTGTTATTTAATTAAACAGAATCAGCCAACCTGGATTGTATAAAGCCCTGTAACATGACTGTCATTCTGTTAGTATTTCTTTAAATAAGTGTTTTTGCTTTGCTGGTATTATTGCTTCTCGGGCCTTACCAAGAAGTGCTGATTAAAAAATTCCTTGGCAACTTATATATTTATCTGTCACTGCAGGATACTTCTTCAGCCAGACGATTCCTTGCAAATCCTGCAGCCAGTTGAAGCTGATGTAGGTTTCTACACCTGCAATGCAACAAATGCTTTGGGATCTGACTCTGTTTCCATTGCCATCACGTTAGCAGGTAAAATGTTCTCAGCAAGCACCACGGATATCTTCCCTTTCCCTTTTTGCTCTTGAAAGATTAAGCATAAATGAGAACCAGGCCAGAATAATGTTGGATTGTGTGGACTCAGTCTTTGTGCTTTGAGATTATTACGTTAGAGATCCTGCATTTGTGCTTTCATCTTCTCTGTTCAACATTTTTAACAGCTTCTTCACAGAACATCAGTTCTCAGAATTTCGTCTTTTGAAGAAGTTGTGTGAATCAGGTGCCAGACCCCAAAAGCCACCTATCTGCTGTTTGGCTTCACATCCATCAAAGTCCCCCTCTGATCTGTTAGGAATAGCCAGTTCAGCCCACTCCTCTCTGAGGTAGTCTTTCGTGACTAGGCTCCACTCAGCAGCATTAATCTGTTGCTGTGGAGAGACTAATGAGAGCTGTAACGAGAACACACCTCAGGAGAGCAAGCGGCACTGAAGACAAGAGTTCTATGATACATAGGAAGCCTGTTTCTGCATAAAGACAGGCTAATCCTAGCTGCTGGGGTTTTCCAACTGGGGATTTTGAATCTCGCTATGCTTGTTAAGCTCTGAAGCTGAAACGTGGCCACTTTGGCATGGAGAAGCTTCGTGTTGCTTACAGAAGAGGCCTTTCAGGAGCTCTGCCTTCCCAACTCCTCTGTATGTATTTGTTAAGGAGCAGAAGAGAAATTTGCTTTGACTTTCTTAAGGTGAGAACATCTCTGAGTTCAGCACTGGCTTGACAGGTACTAAGCACTGCAGGATATGTTTGCTTGTGTATTTTGGGGGCAGCAATGGCTAAAAATCTAAATAAATAAATATTTTACCTGCATCTGTGTGCCTGTCCTAATCCCATTTTTATTCATCTTGTTCTCTCTGCTGAAACCTTATGATGCTGTTTTGTTCTTCCAGGAGCAGGACATTTTAATTTGTTGAAAACTGTCACATGGTGGGATAGATGCCTTGACATTCTGTGTCTTCTTTTCCTCAGCAAAATGTTTCAGTTTAGTGGTTGCTAGAATTCTGCTATAAGTTTTCTTCTTCCTCTCTATCTTGGAAAGGGTCGTTGAGGACTGGACATCAAATCTGAGCTGTGACCAAAGTAACAAGGAACGCATTGCAATCAATAGGGTTACTCGTCTGCTTGAATTTTGGTGTTCCTTCAGATGATTTGTTGGGCTTACGATTTGTGAGTTAATTGCCGAGTCAACATCTTGTAGGGTCAAGCTCTTTTTTCCCCATGTTGCAGCCAAGGCATGGCTGACAGCCTTCTAGTCACTGGCAAATGAAAACTCATTACAGATTAGGTTTCTTGTTTACATTTGTCCAGCAACGGTTCAGTTCTGTGACAGACTAAATATCGTTTGTTCACTTGGACCCCTCCTAATGAAAACTTGTCTAGAAAGAACAAGGGCTCTGTGAGAGCATGCTTGCTTTCAGCTGTTTGGGAGAGAGATATTTGGCTAACAGGAAGTTCAAGCAACATCCAAAGCTACAGGATGAAAACATCAGTGGAACCTTGCTTGATCGGAGCAAGAGTTCATCGATTCTAGCAGGGGCTTCAGCTCAATGCTAGAGCATGTGTTTTGCATGTAGAAAAGTGCTAGATTCAGCCCTTAGTTGTAGGGTCTTATGTAGCAAAGACTAGTAAAAATTTTGCCTAACTACTTGGAAAGCATCTGCCAATATTGTAGGCAATATTTGGCCACATAGAAAATTGCTCACTGTACAGTTATAGAAACATTTATATGTTGTCTTTCCGGTGTTCAGACATGCCCTTCTCAAGGTGGCTAAAAGCAATTAAAACCAAAGATAACATAAAATAGAATTCAGAAACAACAACATAATCCAAACAGACAGCTGCAACAGATCAAACAACCCCATCAAAAGAAAACATGGGAACATCAGAGAAAACAAATGCCTGCCAAAGAGGAAGGCCTTCACCATACAGAAAATTGCTGTTAAAAAAGGGAGCCAGTTTAGAATTTGTGGGCAGAGTATTCCATAATTTAAGTGTTGCTGTAAAGGAAGACCTTTCTCTTATCTCCATCAACCAACTCACCACCTTAGTTGGAACTTCAAGAAGGGCCTTTCTATCAGATCTTCAGGCATGATTAGGCTGGTATTTGGGGCTTTAAAAGTCATCACCAACACTTTGAATTGTACCCTGAGACAAATTGGTGACCAGTGTAACCCTTGCAGGACAAATGTACTATGGTCCTATAGCTGAGTCTCCACTGGAAGTCTACCACCTGCGTTCTGGACCAATTAGGATTTGCAAAGACACTTTAAAGGCAGCCTTCTATATAGCATGCCACAGTGACCCAGTATCTGGCACTGTGACCCAATTTGGCATTCTTAGGAATGGACACAGTTGGCATACCAGTCTCTCCATCTTATTTTACTTGTGCTTGTTGTAAACCATCCTGAGACATGAGTAATGGATGCTGTATAAAAGCTTTAAATAAATAAAGGCATCCCTGGATGAGACTGCCACCTGACCACCCAGATGCAAAGCCAAGTCCAGACTCATCTCAAAACTGCTAACCTGATACATCAAGAGGTGGAGGGTGGGGACAAGGGGCTACTTCCCCATCCATCCCAAATCTGGAGTCAGTCTGGGCAAGGAAGACCTCTGCTTTATCTACATTAAATCACAATTTATTAGATTTTATTGAGCACACTGTTCAATACAGGTTGGAATAGCTGTTTGATAGCCCTCTGCAGATGAAGTGATTGGCAGCGGCCAATTTTAATGGGATTGCCGGAAGCTTTACCCTTGTGCACCCCACACTCCGCAGTCAAGAGAGCTGTCTCTCCACAGCGATTAATGTGTGTGTGTTCCCAAATCCAAAAAGGTTACCCAACCCTACACTAGTGTTTAATCTCTAAATTTATGTAAAGAAAGAGAGAAATTTCAGTGTTATACCTGAATGACCAATGCTTTCCCCCACCTTATGCTTGCTTTCAGAATATTGCCAGTAAAATGAATTCACCTTTTAAAATGTAATAAGGATAATGTGGATTGTTTTTAAAATCTGTTGAAAGAATATAAAGGAGTAGTTCATCCATTAGGGATCTCACCTATCAACAGTGCAGAATGACATGAAAAATGAATTTAATATGGTGTTCTAAAGTTTTCTGTTTTCTTGAATGGACAGATACTAAGAATGTAATTCCATTATGCTAAAAAAGTTCTAGTATCCCCAGCATGCTCCAGCCAACTCTACTGAGCTTTTTGGTGTTCAAATATGAATAGAATTGCAGCCCCCAAAACCATTAAAATCTGTTCTATTCCTGGTGAGCAAATTCCAAACTACAGAATACAGGTTTGGAAGAGAGCCTCTTCATTTAAATGCATCATTTCCATTCAAATCAATTCAAATGAAGCACACAGACACAAATAGAAGGGCCTGTCGGTGCTCAGTAACCAGCAATCATTTTTTTCTAATAAAATGGTTCATGTCTTGATTTCATTTTCTCATACAAACAAACTAGCAAATGCAAACCCCCTGTGTCAGATTTTCTAGAGGCAAATCTACTTTGGGGACGGTCTGAATAGCCTCATCTGTCCAACAGGAGTCAGAGGTTCTGGTCACTCAGAAGCTTGGAATTGGAACATCAAGTTGTATGGATGTGATAATCTGCAATTAAAAACATACCCCTTGGGGGGAGGAATGGGGGGCAGGAGGCCTCAGCTTTTCCTTGCAGGAAGTGGGTAAGCTCTGTTCATTCTAAATGAAACACTTAGCCCCTTTGATTAATTTAACAGATGAGGATGCAGAGAGAAAATGTGGTTCCATTTTTGGACTTGTTTGCTACTTTTTATAGGCTGAGCAACTGACAGGTATTTAATCTAATGAGAAGATTGTGGAAAAAAAATCACTTGGGATATTAAAAAGGCCAATTGCCATTAGAGGTCTCTCTTTCCTCCTCCATGATTTAGGAGCACCCAGTAAAACAGCAGAACTTTGTGAACTTTTCATGACTGAATGGAACATGTTTGTGGTTGGATAACTTTTTCTTATGTTGACGTTTAAGGGTACAGCCCACAAAAGCACTTCTGAAGTCAACAGAAGCTGTTCGGCAGCAGTGCCGGGCGGGTTACTCCCAGAACATGTGGATTAATACACTGCCAATTCCAGACAAGTACATTTTAGCTGTCATGACGGTTTATGGATTTTAATTAGCAGCAATTGAATTCCGGGATGGGGGGAAGAGGACAGGAACAAAACCAGATTTCCACACTTTTAGTTGATGCCGCCAACTAAAGCACCCATAATTCTTCCTCCTCCTTCTTCACTTCCACCCATCCTTTCCAAGCCAGTTCTTTTCCTCTTCCTCCTGCTATAGATTTATAGCTGGATTAATGCATAGGCATTATAGGCTCCTGTCTTGGGTCCAAGCCCATGGCATCACACAACAATATTCATTTTGTCATCTACCGGCCCATGAACAATCCCCTTTGTCGAAGATACGCATGTAGCCAGCCAGTGTTCAGAACCTCTCTTACATTAATACTGTCGGAAGTGGGTTGGCCCCAGTACAAGGAGATAACATAAACTAGATGGAGGCTTGCTAGGACCCATGTGTTTCTATTTTTGTTCCTTCCAGCAGCGCAGAAACTTTCTATGCAGTCTTCCTGTTTTAGGATATCCCTTCAAGGCAGGAATCTGCTTCTCCAGCTTCTAGGGCCCCGCAAAGGAAACCTCTAAAGAATAACCAGGGCTGGGTTCACAAGGGGTCAAGGACAAACACAAGAGAGTTTAACTTAACCTTATAGGAAAGGCCCTGAGTGCACACCTGAGACACCAGATGTGTTGCTGCATTCAGGCAAATAACAATTAAGTTCTTATCTGGATGAAGGATGTAGGGAGATATTTGTTCAGATTAACAAAAGGGAGACTGTGACTTCATAATAAGGAGCTAACATTTACGGGATGAGGGAGATACGAAGCACGGTCCCAATCTAGATCTGTCAGTGATGAATCAGCTTGTGCCACTTCCTTGCACTCTTTTCATTGATGGATGTACTGAACAACAAGCGGATGTAACCAAGCCCATATTTATTTGTTTATTTCCTCATCTGCTTTATAATCCAAGGTGCCTTGTGCTTTCAGGGAAACCGCTGATAAAGACATCAAGAGCCACTGTAATCAACAAGGATGTGCCTACCATCACGGTTGATATTGGAAGTGCAGTGAAAACGATTCCAGGAGTAAACGTGACCATTAGCTGCCAGGTTGCAGGTGAGAGATGGCATTTACATGAGTCCCAAGTTGTGTGTTCTGATCACTTTACTTCTATTTGCCCTAGTGCAACAGTGAACAGCGTAACTGGACTGGTCAAAATTTCTCTGAGATGGCAGAACATGTTTTACGTGTCTGGAGTCCAAATTACATCCCAAGTGTCCTCTGATTTGGAAAGCCATTGCCAGCCAATGTAGCAGTCAGACTGGGGTCTTCTGCAAGTGCAAATACATGTAATATATTAAACCATGGAATATTAAGTCCATACAGATGTAGAACAAATCACTGGGGAAAATCCATTTCAACCTCAGGTTTTTCAAGTTCATGTGAAAATATTTTCTTCTTCCTTGGGGAAAAATGGCTCTCTTTTCTTTTTTGCCAGTTTCCACCCATAGTGTTGCAAGCTGCAAAGCTCTCCCGTGCATTTTGTGATATGTGTGACCCTTGTTGGCTCAGCCTGCAAAAATTGTGTGTGAACCCTGGGTAGGTATGGATAGGAAAAGGTGTGCCTGAGGCACAGTGGGAAAGGTAGATGACGTCCTGGGGATACTCCTAATTTTGTGACCATGTGGCTTCCCTTTCGGAGTTCAGAGCCATTTTGCGGCTTGCGTGGAAAGTCTTTTCTTCCAAAGAGTTTTGCCTTTAGTCTCTTTTCCTGTGTTTTGCTTCCCATTGCCTGTTTTTCTTTTTTGGCCTCCTTGTTAAACTTTTCATTGCAAAAACTTTAAAAGACCATCTTGTACCATCTGAAGCATTTTCTGCTTTTTCAGCTCTCTGCATCGGGTCTGAAAAACCACTTAATTAGCTACTTCCTGAACCTTTGTTCTTTGCTGGAAGGAGTTGTCCAAGCCTCACCCTGTCCCCACTGCAATTGGCTGTTTAATTAGGAGATTCTACTAGGCTATTTGCTGTTATTCCGCCAATGATTTGGGGGTTCTGGACTCAGTGCTCCGCGTGTGTTCTGCTAAACAGAGGTCTAGGTGCAAATGAAGGGAATTGCTCTCTACCAAGTCTCCTCCAAGCCAGGGACCAAGGCGGACCCACTCATGAAGCATGCAAGAGCAGCATGCCAAGCCTCTCCCCTACCCCTAGGCCAGTCCCATCCTGTGAAGCCCACTGCCACCTCCAGCTGGTGCTGTAGAGACCTTGCCAGCCATCATTCCACTGTGGCATTTGCTGCAGCAAGAAAGGAGCAGGCAGGGCTCTTCGGAGAGGCTGCCAGCCCTCTGGGCTCTGGGGCATGTGGTTGGCACCTTGCAATAGATCAGCTGTGTGTCGAAATCAAGAGCCGCATGTCACTGAAATCCCAGCTCCCCCCCTGCTCTGCCGCCGCCGCCACGCAACCCACTCCCTGCTACAGGCAGCCCCACCAAGAGAGGCCCCATGCATCAGCAGAGAAAAAGCAGCGGGAGTTCTGGGCCAGGGATGAAGGTGGCATAGACGAAAGGTTGTACTGCAGTGGGGGCAAGGAGAATGGTTGGCCTGTGACCACAGCAAGGGAGGATTTAGCTGTGGTATGTATGTACATATGGATGGATGTATTTGAGTTACACCCTGCTTTTTCAATTTAAAGAACTCATAGCAGCTTTGGTCATTCTCCCCCACCTGCTCTCAATCTTATCCTCACAACAACAACCCTGGGAGGTAGGTTGGGCTGAGAGTCTGTGACTGGCCCAGTCACCCAGTCAGCTCTAGGTCTGAATGGGGACTAGATCCCAGATCGCCTGAGTGCCAGTCCCGTGCTCACACCCACTATACCACAGTGGCTCACTGGTATTGCAGGGTGGAAGGGAAAGTTGCATGAGAGCACTCCACATTCTTCTGCCTCAGGCAGCAAGAGAGCTTTTTCACAGATTCACAGGACAGCTGGGTCAGAAGGGGCCAGGAAGGCCACTGAGTCCAACCCTCTGCTAGTGCAGGACGCCAGTTACACCATCCCAATCAGAGAATTGCCCAACTGCTTCTTCAGTGCATCTGGTGTGGGAGAGCACACCACCTCTCTTGGCAGCTGGTTCCACTGTCGTACTGTTCTCACAGTCAGGAAGTTCTTCCTCGTGTCTAGCCTGCATCTGGTGTATGTAGCTAAAGTTCGTTGTTCCATGTCTTACAATCTGGAACGAATGAGATTTCCTTCTTCTTGGTGACAGCCTAAATGTGGAGATAACACTTAGAGACTGAATCGAGTTGGTGTCCCTCTACTGAAGGAACTCTCTTTGATCCAGACATCCCCCAACAGGAGGATGGGGATACAATTTGTGATGATTTGCCCTGCAGCCCCCAACATTGTCTCTCATACATTTTCTGGAGGGTCACCAGCCTTTGGAAGCAGAGTTGGTACTAACAAAATACAGACGTATTTGCTTTTTCAAGCAGTGTAAAGACTCGGGATGAGTTTCCCTCTTGATGAAACCTCTTTTTACAAGTGTTCCCAGGAAAAGAATGCCTGAAAGGCTGCCACTGGTCAGGATGACTTCTTGATGCACTCTAGTCTTGTGATGCACTCTAGTCTTGTGGGGTCAGCTGCTTGAGGAATTTCTGGGCCCTTTTGGCATGGACCTGCCTGTTCAGTCTGGTCCTCGAGAAAAAAATTACAAGAAATGTGCTCTGGATTTTCCTTCCCAAAGCCCAGATACACAACAGTTAACAAAACCCCTTTCGAAGATCCTAAAACAGAAGAGGTACTTTGTAGCAATGCTGTTCTATAGGGAACACTTTGGGGAAGAATCTCTTTTAAAACAGTACAGCCAAATGCTGGAATATAAAAAGGAGTTCATTTAGGAAAATCAAAACAAAGTGAGCAGAACAGGAAAAAATAATCACACACATGCACAGTATCTCATACCCAAAATAATCACCCTAGCTTATCTACCTAGCTAAGTAGAACCTTGAGTTTCAGAGCATATGCAGAATTAATTTCCAAGAGGATGGTCCAATAGAGAACATCTTGCCCACCAGGTGAATAGAATATGGAAAGGTATAGAAGAGAAGTCCACAACATGACTTTGGCAGACCCCACAATGCCTATGGACACCTCCAACACATCCCATGAAGCTCTTCACTCCTTCCCCATTCAGACGAATATTTTAAATACAAATGCAAAAAGGTGCCAGGTTCTCCTTCCTATCCTGCACCTGCTATAGATCAGTAAAAGTCAGCCCCTTGACAGAAACTGGTTTGTTTGTTTTTTTAATACAGTAATATGATGTCCTACACCACTGATGTCGATGGCTGAGCTAGCAAATCTTCCTCCTAATTCCTGAAAACTTACATATCAGTAGTCAAAAGTGGTGAGCCGTCTATTTAACACAGGAAATTAAAGTTTGGGCGGAGTTTTTTAGGAAAACTATGCTAAATGATAGATAAGTCTTTTTCGTTTTTATTGCAGTGTTGGCAGTTTGCAATACATAAATGGCTTTTGGGTTGCAGTTTGGGCACTCAGTCCCTAGAAGGCTCATCATCAATGGGTTAGAGTTGGAAGTACGATTTTGATCGTAGGAATGAGTTTCGAATGTGCAGAAATGTTGAGCGGTAGAGGAAAAACTGCACGAGGAAGGAATTTTCAAAATCACATTATTTTCAAAGTTTTTTACCCTTACATTAGGGTTAGGGGTGTGCACCAGGCTGGGGTTAGAGTTAGAAAAATAGGGTGTCCTGGCATGAATTCGATGGTTGTAATGTGTTTAGAATGGGCTGAAATAATGAGCTGTGCAAAGAACATCTACTCAAGGAAGATTTTTTCAAAATCGCCCCCTTTGAAGGGGAACTTTAGTCCTCTATTAGGATTTGGGGTGTGCACAAGTCTACAATTATGGTTAAAAAAAGTGGGTGTACTGGAACGAATTTGATGGTTGGAATGTGTTTGGAATGGGCAGAAATGATGAGCTGTGCAGGAAAAGCTGCTCAAGGAGGGCTTTTAAAAAATCGCTTTGTTTTCAATGGAAAAATCACCCTATATTAGATTTAGGGATGTACAGAAGGCTAGGGTAAGGGTTAGAAAATCGGGGTGTCCTGGCATTATCGTGACAGTTGGAATGTGTTTAGAATAGGCAGAAATGTTGAGCTGTGCAGAAAAAGGTACACATGCGAGGCTATTAAAAAATCGCTTTCTTTTCAATGGAGCAAGCCCTATATTAAGGTAAGGGATGTGCAAAAGGATAGGATTCGGGTTAGAAAAATGGAGTGTCCTGGCAACCAATTCCAACCATTTTGATGGTTGGAATTTGTTCCGAATGGGCAGAAATGTTGACCTGTGCAGAACAAGCTGCTCAAGGAAGGCTTTTAAAAAATCATTGTTTTCTATGGAGTAAGCCCTATATTAGGGTTCGGAGTGTTCACCGGGCTAGGGTTCAGGTAAGAAAAATGGGATGTCCCGACATGATTTTGATGGGTGGAATGGGCTTAGAATGGGAAGAAACTTTTAGCTTTGCAAAACAACCTACTCAAGGAGGGCTTTTAAAAAATTGCACTGTTTTTAATGGAACAATCACCCTGTATTAGCATTAGGGATTCACAACAGGCTAGGGTTAGAGTTAGAAAAAATGGGTGTCCTGGCACGATTTTGATGGTTGGAATGTGTTTTGAACAAGCAAAAATGTTGACCTGAAAAGAAAAAGCTACTAAAGGAAGACTTTACGAAATCGCATTGTTTTCAATGAAACAATGGCCCTATATTAGGGTTCGGGATTTTCACCAGGCTAGTGTTAGGGTTAGAAAAACGGGGTGTCATGGCACAATTTTGATGCTTGGAATGTGTTTAGAATGGACAGTAATTTTGAGCTATGCATAAAAAGCTGCTCCAGGAGGGCTTTTTAAAAATTGTATTTTTAATGGAACTACCGCCCTATATTAGGGTTAGGGGTCTGCACCACGCTATGGTGAGCGTTAGAAAAATGGGGTGTCCTTGCACGATTTTGACGGTTGGAATGTGTTTAGATTGGGTAGAAATTTTGTGCTGTGCCGAAAAATCTCCTAAAGGAAGGCTTTTAATAATGTCATTGTTT